AGACGCTATTTTCCTGTCTTCTTTTAAATTAATGCCTTACTTTCATCTTGGAATTTTTGAGTGGTCGCGGTCTAGTAAAAAACCTAAACTCAACTACTTTTTTTTTTTGTCTTAGGTCAAGTTACTTTACATCAGCCGGTTGTGACTACTCTATAGCTGCTCACAGTGGTAAGCGCATGGGATATCTCCCTACCATGTTATTCTGGTGCTTTTTTGCTCAAATGTAATGGTTTGCTTGTTGGTAACTTGTATGAAGCAGAAGAGAAGAATTGTATTTTGATTTCGTAATTAGCCCCAATTTTTCAATCTCCCATATCTGACTTATGTCGCATAGGCACGCTGCCTGAATCAATTGTCATTTCAAGATTTAGTCTGCTTTCCGGTTGCCTCCTTGAAGAACTTTCTGTCTAAACTTACTCTTTTCAGACCATTTGAAAAATAAAATCTTCTTCGAGCTACAATAGGTACAGTAACGTACCAAGTCCCTTACTCTTTGCCTTTCTAGGAATGTAATCCTTAATGTCACATGTCTTGATGATGAATGTATTAAAGAGACTAAAGCTAATTCTTATCAAATATTAGAGACATGGTATACATGTAATGTAAAATATTCTACTTTACATATGGCAAGGAAAAAAGATGGTTGTCTGGTATTGAGGTTTTAACCTTCTAGAACCACTTTTCCTCTAAACATGAATACCAAATCTCCCTTTTACAAAAGATGAAGATTAACCATTAAAATTCATGGTACCTAACACTAATATGAAATGATTGCCACCTCACCGTTCCTGTCAGGAATGCCCCTTGTTCTCAAATATGGGTCTAGATTGATATAATTAATTGCCCGCGCTCTTGAGATCTCGATCTTGTTGATAAGATGCATTTTGGACTCTTCGCTTGTTGTTGCCTCGATCCATTTAATGGTTGATTCGATGAATTTGACTGTAAGTTCATCTCTCTCCTTTGTAAGAGAGTAGAATGCTTCATCTGGAGTCTTTCTTTGGCAATTAAAGAAGGTAGGCTCAATGTATGCTGGTGGATGTTGTTCTGCTCCCCCAATATCAGCAGGAATATACTTCGGGTCAATGTACTTCGTTAGTTCCCCAATCGATTTTGTAAAGGAGATCCTTTCACGTAAATGAGGTTTCATCCAATGTTCCAAGATTTTCCACATTGCGCTAAAAACGCGAGGAGCATTGTGAATCTGTAATCTTTCAAGCGAGTCAGGGAAGTACTTTTGAAATGCTCTGATCCCAAACTTGACGCCATGGAAGTCTGCGTGTTTCATTGTAAAGCCTGTGAGATCAATGATAACATGAAACTGGTCCACACCTTGTTTATATTCCAGAAATCCCAATCTTGCCCATTCTATGCATAAAAGAATAACTTTCTCAAACTGTGCATCCGTACATCGCCCTCTCTTATGTTTGGCCCCTCTGAATATGATTAAGGGGCTACCACTTCTGGCAACTCCACGGACATACATCTCATTTCTCCGGAAAACATCAACTAAATTTGGGGATTTCAGCTCGAAGAAGATATGAGCATCACCTTTGAAAAGGATATCTTCAACATTGTACTTGGCGTGTCTCCAATCAAGAATATGAGCTATCCAACTCAAAGAAGATTTGTAGTTGAATTTCGATATCCTGAGAAATCGAAGCAAATAGTTGTCAGTGTTGTCGTTTCTGCCCAGTGCCCATAAACTCTTGTGTAAAATTTCTGGCGCATATTTTTTCAACATGGAATAACCTTCCAGTTGATATAAAGAGAAAATGTCGTCGTCGTCATTATCACAGCCTCCTGTCTCCAAAACATAGTAAACACTTCGGACATTACTTGAAATAGATGTGTGTGTGAGAGTGGATGAATGAGATTCCATTGTGGAAGTTTCCTTACTTCGAGAACCTATCAGCTCGGGATCGCCAATCAGGCGAACGTCTGTTATTGAAGCCACTAGCTGGTCGCCTTTTTCAATACTTTCTATGGAGATATTTATGGGATAGCCACAGTGCTTGAGGAGGATTCCCCACACTTTTTTCAAAGCGATCTCTTGATCATTTGTGAGAGACCAGATTCGTCCTTGGTGAATTGGAACATATGTCATATTGGAATTGCAGCAGAAGGGAAGAAAACAGGGATCGAATTTCCCTGGCAGGGTAAGTCATAGATAAATGACAAAATTGACCCTCACTCGACGTGCAGTGTGACAAGTAGCCGTGCATCTTCTCTTTCCCAAATTTGACGATTGCTCGGCTGTTTACCCCAAAAAAATAATTCTATTGTCGGGTTATCGTATAAAGCAATAATTGCCGCTCATGCGTCACAAACAAGAATTCGCTTCGGAGTTTTCGTTTGAGACCCTGTTCGTGGCCCTTTATAAAGCGTGGTTGTAATCTCTTGGGTATTTTCTAACGAAGCTGGATTGAGTAGCTTTCAGGTAAAAGTAGTTCACGTACACAAGAAAAAAATATTTGAATGCACGGCACATACATGATGTATCCCTATTAGATCCCAGATTTCCTAACGTGTTAATTTAGTCATAACTACTCTGGGAAAATTAACTTGATCAGTAGACATGCCTATTTGGGGGTCCTAGATGAAGCGAAGAATCGCGCATGGTATTTTGCAGTATATACCTTGATGCAGGTGTTTCCCCTTACAGTAATGTCAAGCTTTGTCTATGAATGCCCAGAAATTATTTTCCCGCTAACACTAGGATCGAAATACAATAACCATAAGAACAATAGATCCTACATGCCACTACATTTGCTTCAACTTTTTGCCTCTTCAAGAACCAAAAGTTTTGGCAAGGACTTAAGGATCGGAAATGTTCGACTTTCACAGACGCCTATCTTCACACTGTAATTTGGCTTTCTTTATCTGATCTCTTGTAATATTAACGCGATCTCCCACCTATTTTTCGACGGAGATCGGAAGTGTGTAACGTGTCCAACAGGAAAGCAAACATTTCCAACTATAAGCGAAATACTAATGCGAACTTTCGGACGCTGGCTAGAAACAAAAACCCGTGTATTCTTGTTTTCTTAACATTCTCAAACAAATTCCATGGCTGCATGATCTAATAATTTCGAACAAGCGACCCAAAGTACTATTTTTTTGGGTCAGAATAAATTTTTGCATTCGTGCACGTCGTTTCCTCATGATTGCATGTCTTAGAGGAAGGTGATGGGTAACATTCAACTCTCTTGCCAGTGTTCTAAAAGTAACTGGTCCCGTGTCGTTTTATCTTGCAGTCCAAAAACTAAACACATTTATTGCAAGAAATTAAGAGCAATATTCACCAACACTCGTACGTTACAGGATCCTTTGCTTTCAGGCTAACAGTTGGTTTTAGTCAACAAAACAAAGAGACTATTTAGAAAATATTTTGGAACTGGTTTAAACTTACAGATTGAAACGTTTGATGTATTCTAGTTTAGGCCGCCCATTTCTCGCCTTTAGGTCCATCGATTTTACTGGGTTCAACAGGACTCGGATTTGTATAAATCATGCATTGAAAAGCTCTACTCAAACGTAAATGCCACCATCAATGCCAACAATCGTGCCTGTAGAAGTAGCAAGCTTGCATAGTAATATGAACTGCGCAGCAGTTTCGTCGATATCAGCCAATTTCTTAATCGGAGAAGCTTCAACTGTCTGTTGTACCTTCTCCTGTGGGAAGCGGTTTCCCCATTCCGTTAAAAGAAGCCCAGGGCAAACAGCGTGTATTCTTACCTTAGGGCCTTGACTCTGTGAGAGCATCTTGACCAAATGAATCAAGCCGGCTTTGCTGACCGCATACGGGATACTTGAACCGTATACCATGCGGCCTGCGATGGACGCCGAAACAATAAAAGCTCCTCCTTCTTCGTTCGCATCGAAAAACTTCTTTGCCGCTTTGTACAAGTAAAAATGTGACTTGATGTTTGCTCCGAAGCAGCCGTCCCAAAGCTCGTCGTCTAATGCCTCCAAATCGTCGTAGGGCACAATCTTAGTCCAGCCGGCGTTGGATATCACTATATCCAAGCCTCCTAGCTTTTCATAAGCACTTTTGACCAAGCTGGCTGCTACTTCTTTGCCGTCGAACACATTTGCCTGAATAACGTGGGTTTCGATCTTAAATTCTTCTTTAAGTTCCTCGGCCAACTTTTGGGCAGGACCAACAGAAGAGTTGTAATTTATTACTAAATTTACACCTTCTGCCGCTAATTGACGTGCCACGGCAGCGCCCAATCCTTTGGAGCCTCCTGTAATAAGAGCTGATTTTCCTTTCAATTCAATCATTAACGACACCTGGCCAAATGAATAGTCAAAGTTGCAAGGGAGAGGAGCGAGTTATACACACTCTTCCCCACATTATTGGAACGTGAGCCTTTGATATACTATGTACACATCTATAAATGAACCGTCAAAAGTCACTGAAGTTCCTCGGCAGAAAGATCGGTTTTGATTTTGAAGGGTTTGCCTCTCCAGTTGATTTCCTGGCCAAGCATCGCATCAATCCATATCGGTAATGCGAATGCTTCTCTCATGAGCCAAATTTGGCTCCATTGCCACAAACTTCTAGACATTGGTGCTACGTTTCGAAGCCACACCGGCAGATGCCGTGAATTAGTGATATTGTTGACCAAAACATAGAACTGGTAATAGTCACAGGCAAACCAACAGGCCATATGCAAAATAAAGAACCAAACGTTGAAAGTTTGGTTCCACAAGAGTGTTGACAATGCAAAAGTTCCGATAATGCCACATATGATAGATTCTGTGGTTGGCTCCACCAAAGTAGCAGCTTTGACCATATATTTTCTAACCCTTAGCCATCTGACTCTTCTATTGAAATATTCTTTGATGGAATTGGACTTATTGTGAGAAAGCAACGGCTGAATGACAATATCACCTGTTAGAGCTGTTCTGCCATTGCAATTTTCCCAGAGAGCAATTGCAATCATATTATCTTCACCGATATACTTTGCAAAGAACTCAATCAGATGGCCTGGCCCTTTATTAGAGATGCGCAATGCGTCTTGTTTCACTGAAGCTTCAGAAAAGAATTGAGATTTTGCGTAAGGAATGCGAGACACGGCAAAATCGAGATCCGACTTGCGATATAAGTTGGATTTTCCATTAACACATGGAGCGATAGAAAGATTGTTTAAACTGACGTAAAACTTCAGGTGAGATGTGAAAAGGAACATTTCGTCTAACAAACTCCCAAAACCTGAGTTAGCACTGTCTAAGGAAAGAGCAGACGGAACGTGGTGAACCAACTTGACCTTGCGATCGTTTTTTTCGACCGGCGTACCACAGTTTGTGTTTTCTAGCATTGCCATCACAGAGTTCGTAAGAATATATGGAGAGGCCCACACATTCAGATCCATAACCCATAGAATATCGTATTTCGCCGCTAGAAAACCTTTTGCCAAATTATTCACCTTCGGATTTGGACCAAAATGGTCAGTATGAGGTTCTGAGATCAAGATTTGCGCATCGGTATTGGGATACTTGGCAACAAGCATCTTCAATGTGGGGATGGCGGGATCATCCGCGTCGTACACACAAAACAAAATTTGGAGCTTGTCCCTTGGATAATCCTGAAGAAACGACAGCTCCAAACATGAAACTAGCTCTGGGTCTATGCCCTTGATTGGCCTGATGATTGTAACGGGTTCTAGCTTCGACAAGTCCCCCGTAGGCAAAGGAGGTTTGTAAAACAGTACTAGGATGCATAGAAAACCTAGGAACGCCACAGATACTATGACAGCATACCATACAAGGGCTATGTACGCGAGAGCCACTTGGGCCAGCATTGGAAAAGGAAAAATTGAGAGTTTGCCCCTAACTTTGCAGCCTTGAAGATGCGTTACAGGTTTTTTTTTCTGAAGTGCCGGATCCTCTGGAACTCTCGGCTCAGTATAGAGCCGGGTGTTCTATATACAGTTTCTTTGCATGTTTCTCTACAGGAGATCTTGTTACCGCCGCGCCTCCTGACGCGCCGTGCCAAGTTAACGTTGGAATAGGACTGGATCAGAAAATAGTAAGACTGGTGGCGGTTGCAACGACAAATCTTGGTGTTTGTGTAAACTAGTGTGCTTTTACTGGGGCACACTTTGAGTAGTTTTTGTGGCACTTTAATACTGGGAAGAGAACAACTAGAACCAACGGCAGTAACGGCAGTAACGCAGGACTACGAAGTATCATTGGGGTCCGATCTAGTATCGATAGCAGAAGCAGATGTTTGAATGTGTCATCTTTGCGCATTCAATTCCCCAACCAAAGTGCTAAAAACCTGCCATGCGATCAAACTTTTGTCCTCGGAACCAATTCTTCACGTGCTGTGCCCAATCGCATGTCTTTCCACTGATAATTTGAACGCCGCCAGTTCCCACCAACAGGCTCAAAAAAAGGCTGCGATCTCGGCTCAATTTACCAATATCCGGATCCCACCCTTTTTAAGCGCTCAAAATAGACCCTCCCGGATTCTCGGAGTACGGATTCCCCTGACAGACACCCATACACCCCTTATTGAACCTCGGTCCGGCGGAATGTGCGACCCCACAAAATCAACTGGCCAAAGCCGCTATATAAGCGAACACCAACCCCAGACTTTTTCTCGAGTAATTGCACCACTTCCGCATCAGCTTTCTCTCCATTAATCTACCAGCACATTAATCGGGGAGTGCAAACATACAAATGCTTAAGTCTTTGGGAAGAATGACAAGAAAGTTTTCAACCTCCACCGTTAAAGGGGACTTGTTCAAGTTCCAATCGCAGCTTCCAAAGTTGCCCGTCCCCACCCTCCAAGAAACATGTTCCAAGTACTTGAAAACTGTCGAACCTTTTCTCTCTTCTAGTCAATTAGAGACTACCAAGGCGCATGTGGAGGAATTCTTGCAAACCGGTGGTCCAGGAGAAGTTTTGCAGAAGAGATTGGAAGACTTCGCTAAGGACAAGGACAATTGGTTGGCCGAATTCTGGGACGATTATGCATACATGTCATACAGAGACCCTGTCGTGCCATATGTCTCGTACTTCTTCAACCACAAGGATGTAAACAATGCCATTGGCCAGAACCAGTTGTACAAGGCATCGTTGATTGCTTACTACACGGTAGAGTTTCTTCTCAAGGTTGAGAATGAAACTTTGGAGCCAGAAGTTATAAAGGGAAACCCTTATTGTATGAACGCGTTCCACTACATGTTCAACAACTCGAGAGTGCCTGCTGCTGGCAGTGACATAACCAAAAGATATGATGGAAGAGAACATCGCTACTTTATTGTGGCCTTGAACAACAACTTCTACAAGGTGTACCATCACGATGCTGAAGGAAACCCATTGTCTAAAAGTGCTCTCTTCAAGCAACTTCTTTACTTGGTCAATGAAGTGAGCCCAAGAGTACCTAGAGGTGAGGGTGTGGGTGCTCTTACTTCGTTGAACAGGGATGAGTACTTGAATGCATTCAATGCGATGAACAAATCGCCTATCAATGAAGCCTCTTTCGAATCTATTTTCGCCTCTTCTTTCGTTATCTGTCTTGACGACAATTATCCTGTGACCATAGAGGAAAAGGCAAAAAACAACTGGCACGGAGATGGCCAGAACAGATTTTTTGACAAGCCCTTGGAGTTCTTCATTAGCAAGAATGGTAACTCGGGCTTCCTTGGTGAACATTCTAGAATGGATGCGACACCTACTGTTCAATTGAACAACTTCATATTACAGAACATACTGAAGGAGGACCCTGAAGCTTTCATTTCTGACATCCTCGCCGATTCCGCTCATGCGGCATCTCTCGTTCCGGAGTTGCCTAGTGTTTTGCCATTTGACATATCCCTTCAGACAAGAGCTGATATTTCGTCAGCGATCGCGAAGTTCCAGCGCACCATTGCATCTCATGATCAAGAAGTGTTCCAGTACTATGGCTATGGTAAGAATTTGATCAAGCAATTCAAGGTTTCTCCTGATGCCTATGTTCAAATGATGATCCAATTGGCCTATTATAAACTCACTGGTAAAGTTCGCCCAACTTACGAAAGTGCTGCAACAAGAAAGTATTTGAAGGGAAGAACTGAAACAGGCAGATCCGTCTCTGTTGAGTCTAAAAAGTTTGTTGAGACCTGGACCAACACAAAAGCTAGTGCCGAAGAAAAAATTGCGTCCTTCAATGCTGCCTGCAAGCAACATGTCAAATACTTGGTCGAAGCTGCAGATGGGAAGGGAGTGGACCGTCACCTTTTTGGTTTACTGCAAATGATCAAGCAAGGAGAAAACACACCAGCGATCTTCACCGATCCTGTGTTCAAGTACTCTTCGACTTGGTACCTTTCCACGTCTCAGGTGCCTTCCGAATTTTTCCAAAGTTGGGGCTGGTCACAGGTTATTGACGAAGGTTTTGGCTTGGCTTACTTGGTCAATAACGAATGGTTGCAAGTTCACATCTCTTGTAAGAAGGGTTCTGGCTTGAGATCCGATTACATGAAATATTATTTGACCGAAACAGCAAATGAAATGAAACAAGTCTTATCTGCTCAATTGCCTGCTAAACCAAAGCTTTGAGCCTGCTATTTATAAATAGTGCTACTATTATTTTTTAAGAATACAACGAGGTACTAAAAGTATTTGTAGGTGAGTCTCATGAACACTGTGTATTCGCACTTCATAAATACTTTCCAAAGAAGAACCTTTTTTGCAAAAATGCAAATTCCATGGAAAAAATCAGAGCAATGGATAAGGATAATAAGCTTCGAGTACAAGTAATAAGATCTTGTGGAGAAAAGACATCGTAAAATTTCAGGACACATTTGCTATAAAATTTATCGTTTACATACAATGGTGTGGCTCCCCACATAGAAAGGTACTGGTGTAGTGTGATATCGAGCCTCTTGAGGTTCGATTATCACTTCAGCCACTTTACTCCTATTTCCATAACCACTTCCCTTGATATATTCCACGATAGTTGTATAATAACTGTCATCCTCAAACTGTGCGTGTTTTGTTCGCTTTGTCTACTACCAGGCATATTGGCAATAAACGAGGTGGCAAAAGTATACGTGCAACTAGAAACTACAATTGCTCTAATATTAGGCAAAAATGGGAAGAGACTTATCTTATGTGATAGTTTACAATGCTCACAATGGCTTGACTTTGAAAATCCCAAAACCAGTCCGGTTTCACCATATTCAATCTTTCAAGTCGTATTTAGTGGAAACTTTCTCAAATTATAACTTAGCCCGACCGGAGAATATCTTCATGCTAACTTCCTTTGGTATAAAATTCAACTTTCAAATTATAAATGAGGTCAGCGAGATATACGTATTCGATAAGCGTCTATTCAATCGCATGGATGATGAGGCAATACTAAACAACTACCTACTACAGACCGAGGATGATAAGTTTAAGAGCCTCCAACCTCAATCTTTTACTCAATTCAAAGCGATGAACACACATGGTAGTGAAGAATCGATTTATGCTGATTGGACAAAAAGTCTTGTCAATCTAAGCCATAGCTTGGAGGAACTAGTGGAAAGATTCATCAGCCACATAAACGTGATCTTCAAATCCTTCAATATTATACTCCAATTCATAGCAAACTTGATTAATGCAACAGATAAAAATGTGCAAAATCACTTCAATTACATCAAGTTGCTCGGTATGAAATCGCTCCATACTTCGTGGAAAAACTACTACAAAGAACTTCAAACATTCCCTCCAATTGTATTATCACATTCCCCACAGCACAAGATTCATCTTGCCAATTATTTGGACGAGGTGACGTTGAAAGAGAATGCTGCAGAAGTCAGCAGTACCTTGCCCAAGATTATCGATGCTTTTAACGGGTTTTTGAATGGTCTTGACAGTGCATAATTATGAGAAGGACAGCGTTGACAAATGCATTGAATCGTTAAGAAAGGAGTCAATGAATAACTTTTCCGAATTAGAACTGATACGGTCTTCGAGCCTCAAGGCGATTGCACTTGCTTCAAAACAAAGTCTGAGCAATTCGAGAGATCATCTGAAAGAGATTTTCACGCAGACTGAGAAATTGTACAACGCGTTGGAATCGTTAGCCACTTTTAAAAGAAAAATATCAAGAGAAGGATTACGCATTTTTCAAAACGTGGCGAAAATGCAAATGAAAATGGTTGAAATTAAGAGCAATATGAAAAACTTCATGAAAGATAACTCGTCCGGAGTTTCAGCAGGGCTGATCTCCAATACAGATGACACCCCGCGTGAGCAGGACTCAATAGCAAAAGTAAGACAGGCAGAGAATTTGCTTTCTATGACGGTTGATTTGCCGTTGCTTTTCGGGTTCATGTTGATAGAACAGAGAAGACAATACGAGTGGTTTGACTTTTTCACTAAAGGTGTTGTTAGCAATGTGTCAGAACAGTTAATGATTATTATTGATCATGAGAAAATGTTTCAAAAGCTTTGGATCAAGAAATTTGGAGCTTTCATAAAATTGCTCAATGTCAAGAATGATGCGAGAGTCCACGTACCGTCAGTTGAAGTCTCGTTGTCAAATGGGTATTCCGAGGCCATGAAAGGCTCCACCCTTGCATTTCTTGGAGACTTGGTGATAGAGAGAGATGATATTGCTCATTACATTGAGAGTATCAAGACCCATAAATTCACCAACAGTTCGAAATTTGCCTCTCTTCTTGCGAAGAACTTTAAAGATTTAATGATTTCTACAGATAACTTGAAAAAAGTCACAAGGGTTGTTTCCTCCCTTGGCTCCATGACATCCGTTAATCCCATTGAGACGAATCTGATGGTCCTAAGAAACTACCAAGAAGGACTGAAGGAGTTCGAGCAAGATCATGAAATTAATTTGGTTAAAGACCTTAGGCAGAGAATTAGAAAACTCGAGGACCTACTTCATCAACAGCAATACTCGAATCTCTCCAACTGGCCCGTAATTAAGAGCCAAGGGGTTAAAATTAGCGACGCTAATAATATGAGTATGCTTCTCACATCTCATCCTTCGCCTATGACTTCTGATCCCACCAAGTTTTTGAAGGAAAAGTCAAAGAATTCATCTATCGAGGAAAAGAGAGAGATGAAAGCAAAACCCCTCGACGCCTCGACTACCATTGATAAGCACTTAGATAACATTAGACTAAAAAAGGAGAATAACGAGTTGAAAAACTCGAATAAACAACTCCATGAGTCGAATCTCATCTTGAAGGAACAAATTTCAAAGTTGCAAGAGTCTTTGAGGTTGGAACAGCAGAAGAATGAAAATCTTCTGTCGCAGTATGAGAAAAAATTATCCGAGGTTCAGTCTTACGCCACGGAGCTCAAAGAGTCCAACGTAAATGAAGCTCAAAAAATTCGGGAGGAACATAATGCAATGGTAACTCAATTGGCAAAAGATAAAAATGAATTGAAGTCTAAAGTGAATGAATTGGAATCGAAGAACCGTACTTTGGAAAATAATGCATCCAGTAATCGTGACCTTGAACAAGAAATATCTGACCTCACCGCTGAACTTAGCGACTTGAGGATATTCAAAACAGAATTGTACTCGAATATGCAAGCAAAAAGTGCTGAATTTACGAACGAAAGGAATGAGCTTGAGAAGAAAATTAAGGATCTCATATCGCAGCTCGAAAGACTGACAGATGACTATGAGAATTTGATGGAGATCACACAAGCTAAAGAGCGGCACTTTGAGGCTACTATTGCTAGTGCAACGGACGTCATCAAACAATTATTTTTGAGAGTAATTCAGCTTATGCGCAGATGCTATAAATTTGTGGAGGAATTTTCTTTGGTTTTGGAATCCATGGGTCTTCTTTTAATCGAAGAGCAAAATGCTGAAACTAAGAAAATGGAATACAGAATAAAACGGGTCAAAGGCTTAAAGGCAAAGAAAGCCGATCATGGTGAAAATGCTCTAATCACAGAATCCAAGCTGCATGGCATCCATTCGTTGGTAGTTGAAGAGATTGCAAAATCTATGAAATGGGTAGAATCTATCGGAGTGTCTTTTGAAGATGATACTGGCGACGAGACGATGAAAGACGAAATTATTAACGAGTATGAAAAGGAAGCGACCCGATTATCTCACTTATTCGAGAAATATTTTTCAGATTCAGAAGACCGCTTGTCTCCCTTCGCTGCATTCTTTAATACAATATCGTTTGATGAAAACGTACAATTACACGCATTAGAAACAGATACTGTGGAAATCAACAAGATGTTCTTCCTCAACTCTATTGCGAAGAGATTCAACGATGTCGAAGGATTTGCGAAGAAGTTAACGAAAGAAATCAAGTCCAAAACTCAAGAAAAGTCTGTGGACGGAGCCAAGAAACGGATAGCAGTCAACAACTTCTCAGAAGGCGATTTGGTCCTCTTCCTTCCAACCAGAATCGATGACGGCTTGGCAATTGAAAACGAAGATATTCCAATACCGTGGACAGCCTTCAACTTAGATGCCCCTCATTATTTTTTGGATATAAGCACTAAGACTAATATTGGGAATGAGGAGTGGTACGTTGGTCGAATAATCAGTATGGAGGAACGTCTTGTCACAGACGAGAACGCCCAAGACAAGGATGAAAATCCGTATCACTTGAGCGCAGGAACTTCTTGGTACATGGTGCAGACGAAATAGTTTATGGGAAATATATGTATAGTACAGATGGCTAAATGGATGGTGGCCGCACAATTATTCGGGGACATTCTCGAATAAGTAGGAAACACTTTCACCATTATGCAATCTTCTGATTGCCTCTGCAAGAGTTGGACTGATGTCTAGAAGCTCAAGCTTTGGGCAGCGGGCCAACTTGTCATCCAAAGGCAAAGAGTTCGTGCAGACAATCTTGTCAAGTTTTGACTTATTCAACTTTTCGATAGCATTGCTGGAGAAGATACCATGGGTAACAATGGCCACAACTTTTTGTGCCCCATTCGACAAAAGAACGTCGGCAGCTTTACAAAGGGTACCACAAGTGTCAGCCATGTCGTCAATCAATAAGCAAATCTTGTTTGAGACGTCACCCACCAACACCATTTTGGACACCTCATTTGCTTTCTGTCTTTCTTTGTGGATCAACGCAAAGGGGACATCCAACTTGTCAGCAATATATGCCACTCTCTTTGCACCTCCAGCATCTGGAGAGACAATAGTTAGTTGGTCAGTGGAGTAATTCTCTGTGATAAATCGTAAGGCGCTTGGTTCCGCATACAAATTGTCAACAGGAACCTTGAAGAAACCTTGGATTTGAGAGGCATGTAAATCCAAGGTGATAAGGTGATTACAACCTGATGTCTGCAACAAATTAGCGATCAACTTGGCAGTAATAGGGGCTCTAGACTTGTCTTTCTTGTCCTGTCTTGCGTAGAAGAAATTCGGAATGACAGCAGTGATTCTTCGAGCACCACCGATACGGCAAGCATTAATCAAGTGAAGAAGTTCCATCAAAAAATCGTTAATTTCCGTTTCGCCGTATCCCGTCTGAATGATATAAACGTCATCATCTCTTACAGATTCTCCCACTGCGACAGCGGTTTCCTTATTGCTGTACTGGAAAGCACCGACTTTAGAAAGAGGAATCGCCAAGCGCTCGGCTATTAGCTCCGAAAGCTTTCTGTGAGAGTTTCCGGAAATAAGCCGTATAGAGTTGGGACTCGAATGCATTTCAACTTTGGTCAATAAAAGTGGAGAAGACAAAAATTTATGATTCTATCACGTGGATCCGCATCAAGGTGCAGAAGCACTCATTACATGTACAAGACTCAATGAACTTCACAAAAATCAAAATACAATAAAACGCAATTGAAAACAACTTTGTCGCTTAGTAAAAAAAGTATCTATTACAATCCGTTCGAAGGACATGACTAAATGCATTATAGAACTGAAGACGGGGATTATATCCTCCGTACTTACAAATCAGTGACACATCCCTTGGATGCGTCGCTCACCAAAAGAGAGTACTTGCGCAAAGTACCTCTAGGGTATCTTGGGGCCGGTGGCTTCCACTCCTTTCTTCTCTCAGCCAAAATTTCTTCGTCCACCAACAAGTCGATGATGTTGTTTTCGGCATCAATCACAATCTCGTCACCGTCATGGACCAAAGCAATTGGGCCACCTTCAGCAGCTTCTGGAACAATGTGACCAATCAAGAATCCATGCGAGCCACCGGAAAATCTTCCGTCGGTCAACAAAGCCACATCTTTACCCAAACCGTAGCCCATTAGGGCAGAAGAAGGCTTCAACATCTCTGGCATACCTGGGCCACCCTTTGGACCCTCGTATCTGATAACACAAACGGTCTTTTCACCCTTTTTGATCTCGCCGTTTTCTAAAGCAGTGATGAAAGCGTACTCCTCGTCAAACACCCTGGGCCTTACCCTTGAAGTATGTACCTTCCTTACCTGTAATTTTGGCCACACACGATCCTGGAGCTAAAGTACCCTTGAGCACTTGCAAATGGCCGCTGTCCTTCAATGGATTGGACAATGGGCGAATGATGTCCTGTCCTTGTGGCAATCCTGGCAACTTGGTCCAAGTTCTCCTTGATCGTCTTACCAGTGACGGTGTATTGATCGCCATCAATCATGCCTTCAGCCAACAACATTTTCATCACTGCTGGAGTTCCTTCCCACAGTTTGCAAATCAGCCATGACGTATTTTCCAGATGGCTTAAAGTCAGCTAACAAAGGTGTGTTGTCAGAGAGGCGCTGGAAATCGTCCACAGTGATTTCAATACCCACAGAAGAAGCGATGGCAATGATGTGCAAGACGGCGTTTGTGGAACCACCGGTAGCAATGATGTATGTGATGGCATTCTCAAAAGCTTTCTTTGTCATGATTTCACGTGGCTTCAAGTCCAACTTTAACAAGTTTTTGATAGCTTCACCGACAGAAGCACATTCTGCAGCTTTCTCCTTTGAGACAGCTGGCGCAGAGGAAGAGAAAGGCAATGTCATACCCATAACCTCAGCAGCAGAAGCCATTGTGTTGGCGGTGTACATACCTCCACAAGCTCCTGGACCAGGACATGCGTGTTGCACCACGTCCATTCTTTGCTCTTCGGTGATTTGGTCTGACAAATACTGCCCGTAGGACTGAAAAGCCGAGATAATGTCAATCTTGTCTGGAATTTCCGCTGTAGCACCACAAGATGGGGAGCCGGGTAAGATTGTACCACCGTAAACCATCAAAGAAGGTCTGTTGTGTCTACCCATGGCCATAAGCACGCCAGGCATGTTCTTGTCACAAGATGGGATTGCAATAGACCCATCGTACATCTGGGCCATGATCAAAGTCTCGAAAGAGTCAGCAATGATCTCACGAGACTGCAAGGAGAACTTCATTCCCTCCGTACCGTTGGTAATACCGTCGGAAACACCAATGGAGTTGAACTGCATACCCTTCAATCCAGCCTTGTTCACAGAATCTGTGCACTGGTCGTTCAAATCCATCAAGTGCATGTTACATGGGTTACCACTCCACCAAACAGAACCGACTCCGATTTGAGCCTTATCCATATCCTCGGTTTTGAATCCAGTAGCATACAACATGGCCTGTGACGCACCTTGTGATTTGTCCTGGGTCACGATAGACGAGAATTTGTTCAACTTCTTTTCGCTTCTTGCAGCAGTAACAGAAAACTTTTCTGGCTTGCGCAGCAAGCTGCTTAGGGCCAACTTTCAAGAGACTCATTGTAGTTGGAGTTGGATCTGGTGAGCGCTCGTTTTTTCGTGAGTCAACTCTTGACGTTCCGGTACCGGGGAGAGATGCGCACATGTCCAATTAGGCACAGGCCATAAGTAATGGGTGCGCCCACCGATAAGATTGAAACCTACATATTATGATACTGTCAGGTGACTTCGCCGGTTCCGGCCAAATAATGACTTAAAGTTCTAACGAATTCAAGTACCCTAGGTAATGCTGAATATGCTAACTATAATGCATTCAGGTGCTTCACGTTACTTGCTGTGATTTTCTTTGGTTAGTATTGCTCAAGAAAATAGCAACGGTAGCGATTGGGCCATGGTTGCTGCACTTCGTATCAATTCCCTAATGAGGACAAGCTGGTACGACATGTCATAAAGTAAAAAATCTTCTTCACTACATACTTTTCAATGAAACTCACAACGAACTCTTGCCATTCTGACTCTTTGACAAATACAGAATGCCCGTATCCGTATCAGGAACACTGGGAATTAGAATATGCTAGTTCTTCCGAAAGTTTGCGATCGCCTGGCGGTGTTTCAGGTACATTAGAGGTAAGACTAGGTCGTATGAAGTTGACTGAAGATTCTCCCATGAACCAAGGAGGAAGGGGTCGAAGGAAATACCATCGGCAGAGACAAAGAGACCGCAGACACTCAGCAAATGTTCCACAATCTCACATTACGCCTCATGAAGATGAAAGGTGCTCATCAAGTAACAGGCTACCAAGGCAGAGTAATAAATGTTCCAAGAATACGGGAAGTGGGAGGGAAGCTGGAAAAGAAGAGCTGAGGAAAAAGACCCAACTTAAAGCAAAAAAACGCCGTGAACATAGAAACAAACCTTTGCAAAATCAAAACAGTCATCAAGATGGCAGTTTAGCTACCCCGTTACTAGCCAGACCAGCTCAGAACCCATGTGATTCTACTAATAGTCAAAGTATGGAAGACGTGAATGGACTAGAGCAAAGAGCGATCCGCGTTCTTCAGTCTGCGACTAGACTTCAAAGAGCGCCCCAAAGGTCATCCCCAATTGACATATATCATCAAATGATTCGGCCACCTCCGAGAGATGAATATGCTGCTAGAGATGAGGAGATACCACCGTATAGGGCACAACTTCATAAGTACCTCGATCTTGTTTCTTATGATGAACGATTCTCTCCTGTGCTTCGAGTCAATCGTTATTTGGTTCGAGGAGAAGGAGAATTGAGCGGTGCAATCAACAAACTATCTTGTTCAAATGTCTTACCTAAGAGGACAAACCTATGGGCGGTGTCCCACATTGATGACAACGAGTATGAACAAATGGTGCCTGCGCTCATATCTGAAGGCAGCTAGTTGGTTTAAAAAGAGAATTGTAAAGTGGGTTTTAAATTATTTTTTAAAATATTAAGTTAAAATTAAGATTGTTCACTAATTGTCTTTTTGTTGTCAAATTTAGACAAAATTAGAATAGGTGCGATTCCTAAAACTTTTTGGAAATGCTTTGAATTTAGTCGCCACAGGGACATGAAAACAAATGCAAATGAAAACTCCGTAAAGAAAGCAGGCGATTACAAATTCTATTTCTCAGAAATAATCAAGAACAATGCCTCTTGTAATACTTTTGGTACAGTATGTTCATTTTCTTTCGTTCAGCCATATAGTAGTTGTAAGTCCTCCCTGCAAATCGCGGCCTCTGAAACTCAAGCTTACTTTTTGTCTTTTATCAGTCTCAATATGTCCGTACCAGAAGGATTTACAAAAGTCACTGAAGATCTGCACAGATCCAGTGAAGTTATAAACTCTAACCCATACGGCCCTAACCCTGCTGATTTCTTGTCCAATGTTTCGTCTTTCCAGTTGATCGAATCAACCTTAAGAGAAGGTGAGCAATTTGCCAACGCTTTCTTTTCTACGGAAAAGAAGATTGAGATTGCGAAGGCGTTGGATGATTTCGGCGTTGACTACATTGAGTTGACTTCTCCTGTAGCTTCTGAACAGTCTAGAAAGGACTGCGAAGCTATTTGTAAGTTGGGGTTGAAAGCTAAGATTTTGACTCACATTAGATGTCATATGGATGACGCTAAGGTTGCTGTCGAGACCGGTGTAGACGGTGTTGACGTGGTTATTGGAACGTCACAGTTTTTGAGACAATACTCCCACGGCAAAGACATGTCTTACATTGCCCAATCGGCTATCGAGGTTATCGAGTTTGTCAAGTCCAAGGGCATTGAAATCCGGTTTTCATCTGAAGACTCTTTCAGATCAGATTTGGTTGATTTGTTGAACATCTACAAGACAGTGGACAAAATTGGCGTCAACAGAGTTGGTATCGCTGATACCGTTGGTTGTGCTAACCCTAGACAAGTTTATGAGTTGGTAAGAACATTAAAGTCTGTGGTTTCGTGTGACATAGAGTGTCACTTCCACAACGATACTGGATGTGCCATTGCGAATGCCTACACAGCCTTGGAGGGTGGTGCCAAATTGATTGATGTCTCAGTTTTAGGTATTGGGGAAAGAAACGGTATCACACCCCTTGGTGGTTTAATGGCGAGGATGATTGCCGCAGACAGAGACTACATTTTGTCCAAGTACAAGTTGCACAAGTTGAGAGACTTGGAGAATTTGGTTGCAGAGGCTGTTCAGGTCAACATTCCTTTCAACAACCCAATCACAGGATTCTGTGCTTTTACACACAAGGCTGGTATCCACGCAAAAGCCATCTTGGCCAATCCATCGACTTATGAAATTTTGAGCCCTTCGGACTTTGGCTTGACGAGATACATTCACTTTGCTAACAGGTTGACTGGGTGGAATGCAATCAAGTCTCGTGTTGACCAATTAAACTTGCATTTGACCGATGACCAGTGCAAGGAGGTTACCAATAAAATCAAAAAATTGGGCGATGTTAGACAATTGAACATTGATGATGTCGATTCCATCATCAAGGACTTCCATGCTGACGTCTCGGCTCCAAGCTCCTCAGGCACCCTTCTTGAAGAAAATGCAAAGAGACAAAGAATATAGATTAATAGGCTAATTGTGTTCGGAAAACTCGATCACTCATGTTACTGCAGATTTGTATTTGAATCTTTCATGAAACTATGAACGAAGCAAAAGCTAAATATGATGACGTTGAATGAGATCATGAATCATAAGGAAAACTGCAATGCTTCCAAAAAGGATACACATTCCCGTGCAAGTCATGATCGCCTGGCGCCTTGTACCTGTGTTGACTGTGATTCCTGCTTGATACTCCTCTCTGTACAAAATGATTCCAACCACAATGTTGATTACAGCAACGATCGAGCAAATGAGCTCAATAGTGCGATGCTGAAACATGTCCACGGATTGATGATGATTGGCGACTGCCCGTGTATCTCTGTCTGTGTTTGATGTTGATTAGTTCACCAAGCTGTGCTCATTCCAAAGTTGTATTTCCATTTGCATACAGATCGAACGATTGTGCACATCGACAAGAAGTTTCTTAAGCTTTGAATAGTCTTCTTGCTTTTTTTAGACAAGGATAGCCATAAAGCGGAACAACCGGTGACTTTTTTTTTTTGCACCAGTTTGTGACTCGCGCATACACTGAGGTTGGTACAGGCCCACGTGATGGTAATCTCTTTAATTTTGCTTTGTATACAGGGAACTAAACCACAGTAAGCTTAAGGCAGCGTTTCGAAGAAACATTTTTTATCTTTGTTCACAAGTGAAAGTCAGTTCTCCTAAATTGAAGAAGAAGATGATGATGACCGAGTGGCATTTTACATACAGTTATCGTATTTCCTCGTTGATGTACATTTCGCATCCTTGATACAGTATGCGCAGCACATACGAGAAATGCAGTACTCTACATAATGAGATGAATGGACACAATTAGAATCTTTATAAACAAATAATGCAGTATGGTAATCACTCGTCCGCTTCTTCTTCATCTTCATCACTTTCATCGAGTTGAACATTATACTTTTTCCTTTGAAAGTCCTTGATGTGGGCCTTATTCAAAGCGTTAGAAATATTAGCCAATGTTGATCTCCGACGCAGAAGCTCATTTGGATGTTCGGATGAAGCCTTTGACAGACTTTCTCCATCACGGCGCTTGTGACGCATGGAGTTAGTCTCGGTACTGTATGATGTCGTTCTTCCTTGAGATGGAGGTTGCTCCATACTAGATCTTGCATCAGACTCCACGAATTCATGTGGACCGTACTTAGTAGCCACCAATTTCTTAATCGCTCTTTCAACTTTAACAGGCAAGCGATAAGGTAAAGGAGAATCTCTCGAAGCTCGAAACAAAATCACATTGGTGCAATGCTCATTCTCCAATCTGAAAAAAACCCAAATAAATCTCCTGAAAATTTCTGCAAGTGCAATACAAAAACTTGTCACAGCCAGTTGCTGAATCTGATTGGAGAAAAATGCGTAAAAGATCCACTGAAAGCGCAAAATCACATCCATAATGATTGCAGTATAGTAGTAAGCTGGCTTCTCGTAAAATAAGTGATCTCTTAGTAGAAAGTGTTTAGATTGAACCTGACCAAGAGACCAATCCATCACTATATCCCAAGCTGAAGAGAGTATCGAGTTAAGGCAGGCAATAACGATGAAAATAGCTCTGTTTGAGGACTTTCGCTCTATTCTCCAGTTACTAAGCAATGCATAATAGGCAATACTGATCAGATACTTGAGCATGTTCGCCAAATGGGGGAAAGCATCACCAGAATCCATATAACGACGAAGACACTGCAAGAAACGCCAAATGGAAGGTAAAGTAGATAGGAAACCCATAGCCCTAGAGTGACTAGAACCACATTTGGTGAGTGAAGGCGGGGATCCGCCGCCCAAAAATTTTCTCCATTCGCTAGTGTACAAGCAGAAGAAGAAATATAAGTTACCCATAGAATAAGTCAACGAACACAATATGTCGCCGAGAAAAAAATCTCTGAATTCAACAGGATAGAACCCAGAGCACATAAGTCTCCATATTGCTATTTGAAGCCATTTTCTGCTGGCTCCGAACATTCTAGAAGTTGGGTTCAAGAATATTAGAAGCATCACTCCAAGAAAGATCAAGGGCCAATCACGACCTGGAAACTTAGATGGCCAAAAGTCTTGAAATGAGAACCAGCCCAATAGTCCTAAAAGACCAAATGCAAAACTAGGAAGCATAAAAAATTGCTTATAATCCAATGCAGTAGTAAGATTGAACTCAAAAATAAACTTGTAGTTAATCTTGAATGCTTCAAAAACCATCATATTGATACCGATGAATAAAAATGCCATGTTCACTAAGAAGTAACCACCCCATATTTGTAGCAAAGATTTCCCTTCTGGTAATTCACCACCAAGCGTCTTTTCAAGGGCTTTATACAAGCCAATCACAAAAAGGGGAGCGCCTATTCCAATGTAAATCCCGGAGAGAAAAACGGTCTTGTAAAACAGCGGCAGCTTAACGTCTGCATTATTGTACACGTAAGTTGCACTACGCAACCTTTCCAAGCTATGTTTTCTGTCCAGAGTATCGCTTTCGAAGAAAGTTAAAAACAAATCTTCAATACGACTTGAGATAGTATCCAATACTGTACTGTTCTGGAAATAAGACTCGTCATCTACCTTCTTCATGAATGATTCAGAAACTTTTGCATCAAGGGCTTTGTCATACTTCTTCGTGATCTTTCTGAAAGCAGTACGATTCATTTCTTTATAAGACCTGACCAAAGAGATGGCTCGGTAATGCTCTATCAAAGCCTTCTTTAGCTGCGTTTTAGCATAATAATATGGTACTCCAAAATGCTTTTTCCGAACATAGTCTCTCCGTCTAGAGCGCTTCGCTTGAGCTGCAGTGCTTGGTTCCTCACGAGAAAAATCTTGTTGATTATCAGAATCACTTTCAATCAGATCAATGTCGTCGTCGATGTTAGAATCTACTCTTAATTGACCGTTTCTGATTTGGTTTTCTCTGTAGTTGGGATCAAAGTCTGCAGTTTCCACACTGCTCGCCATGGATAAAGAGAAAGAGTTTTGCCGCCCTCTGCTAGCCTTCCATGTCTTCAAGAATCCTGTGGATGGGAGTGATGGGAAGTCATATTTATTAAGGTGGTCGATAGTGTTTTTAACAATGTTCCTCCATCCCGTGACCGCAAGATTTATCGGTTCAGACTTGCGAGCCCGAGGAACTTTGTCTACGATGCGGGAGAGTTCCAACTTAT